CAAACCACATCCAGAGCCAGATTCTACAGTGAAAATTCAGAATCCAAGTGAGCCGTTTTTTTATTGTGATGGAGTAGTAACATGGCAGCTTGTGAGACTAAACCAGAACTTCTGAATGCTTAAATCATTACAGTGTTTGCCCAGTTCATGACAGTTACAACTCACCTATCACAGTGCTAAGTATTTAATTGAAAAATCAGTAAATCCTTTTTGAGTTGAAGGTATTATTCAGTTATAAATCTGTAATTCAAGTTTTCTGTTTGTTTGCAGTGATTCTTAAGGTGGTGGCAACTTTGTTAAAAAACTCTACACCAAGTGCAGAACTTATGGAAGTTCGTCGTTTATTTTTATCTGACATGATAAAACTTTTCAGTAACAGCCGTGAAAATAGAAGGCAAGCAATTTGAATACTGTTACAAAACTTTATTCCCTAATTAATCTTTTCTGTTTCTTAATTTTCAATCTCTTTCAAATAAAAAACATTTCAAATTTTTCCTATATTGCTAAATACTCTTAATCATTAGAAAAGTTATATGTTTCTGTGGTATATTCTGTATTCAGTATATTTTTAATTTTTATATGCTTTTATTTAATTTTATGGGCATAGTATTTTAATATTTTAATTTTATACATGAATATGTGTATACATAACACCTTATTTAAAATGCACTACCTGAATTCCTTTTGGTGATACCTACCTGTTACCAATAGTATTTGTAAGTGTAATTGTGTTGGATTTGCTCATATTCATCTATGCTTTTCCCTCATTTGTCCTATGACTGATTGTTGTCATGCATTCTTAAGCTGATTAGTTAGGACATGGGGTACCATCTGAGACCATGAACTCATATCTGTGGTGATTGTGTGAGTCTTTAATTTAACATATGTTGATTATCTGTTGTGTGTAAGGAACTGTGCTGCACAGGATAGTCTTAGTATAAAGTCTTAGTACAATCTAGTGGGAAAGAAAACCATAAAGCAATGATTAGTTTATAATATGTTAAGTGCATTGTGAGCACTAAAGGTGATGAGAAAGTAGGGAAGCAATAACTAACCCTGACCGGAAGAGTTAGGAAAGTGATTTTAGATGATAATTAGGATTATTCTAGGTAGAGAAATGGAAGAGTCATTCCAGGTGTAGAATATAGAATGTGCAGAATGACTGTGGACCTTGCTTTACCCAGGTCAGATCATATTTTGACTATTTAATCCAAATTTTGAAACAGTAAATTCTAATTTAATTTAGGTGTTTTTAATGAGGTCTTTTTTCCTCCCTAGATGCTTATTGCAGTGTTCAGTGTGGCAGGATTGGATGTTTTCTCTTGGCTATATTAATCCTAAAAATTCTGAAGAGCAGAAGATTACTGAGATGGTCTACAATATCTTCCGGATTCTTTTGTATCATGCAATAAAATATGAATGGGGAGGCTGGAGAGTTTGGGTAGATACACTTTCAATAGCCCATTCCAAGGTAACAAGGGATTTAACATTTTATATTACCATGGTTTCAACAGCAGTTTAAATGGCAGTAAATACTCATCTGGTGCCATCTTGTGGACATCTTGGATTATGGCGGATTCCTTTTCCCATTTTCTCTTTTCTGTTTTTCCACCCTCT